CAAAGCACAGGTCCCCCACCCACTTCAGTCGATCTGGGTCACCTTGCTGGAACTCTTCCTTTTTCCTCTTTTTGTTCGATTCCACATCATCAGCTGGAGGCAGCACATCCTCTGGGTCTAGCTGGGTTGCAGGCACCGCATCAAGCTCATAAGACTGAGACTCTGCCATGGCTTGTGCTAAGGGTGGGTTGCTTAGATTTGGGCCAAAACACTTGTGATCACTATATCGACCCATGGTTGTTCTAGTTACCATTAGGTACCAAGTGTGGCTATCCAGCCATGAGCAGAAAAACACGTCCAAGTGTGGCTATCCAGCCATGAATGAAACACTTCCAAGTGTGGCTGTCCAGCCATGAATGAAATACTTCCAAGTGTGGCTACCCAGCCATGTTTCAAGAATGGTGTTATTTTTCAGGCTGCCCAGCCTTCTTCTTATTGTTCTTTGGCCCACTGCTTGACTTGGTCAGCAGCTTTACCAGCCAAGAGCTGCTTGACAGCCTTTTCACAAATCCCTTTGGCATCCCTGCCATCCCTACACAAAACTGGGAAAAGTTGAGGCCCAATTTTCACCCTCACTGCATAGGCTGGCCCAGCTTTGTAGTACATGATGCACCATGTCTTTCCATGAGGTCCCTTGCTCTGGGCAGGCTTCTTGGAAACCTTGCCCTGCTTTGTGCCAGGCTTCTTGAGCACCATTTGCTTCAGCTTTTGTTTTCTTGCAGGTAGAGGTGAAGCCAGCTCCTTGGTTCCAAGGATTGTTTTATGTTCTTGCATTGGTGGTTAATGAACCTAATGCAGTTGTGGCTCAGCCTCTTCATCCAAGGTGTTCTTCATGGGTGTTGCTGCCAAGCTCGGTGTTGCAGGCAAACTTGGCAAGTCTTCCAGCTCAGCCTGAAATCACTTATGTTTCTGAAAGGCTATCCAGCCATTCTTGCAACCTAGTTATGTTTCTGAAAAGCTATCCAGCCATTCTTTCCTTCCAAGCAACAAAGGCAGGTCCAGGTGGACTCTGGGGCTCTGCATCATCTCCTCCAACCCATCTCTTCATCTCGAAAAGCTCCTTCTTCTCATGGTTGGTGCACTTTGAGCATGCCTCTTTGAACCTTGTGGGGTCTTTGAGCCTCCTCACATGTGCACAAATGCACAGCAGTGCAGATGCCAAGGTGCCCTCATAGTCACCTCTCTGCTCCTCATGCACCTGCTTCCTGATGTCAGGGAACTCAGCGGTGCATTGCTTCAGGGCTGCTTTTAAGTCTGAGAACTTGAAGTGCAGGCCTGTTTGTAAATCAGAAAGGGCGCCCACCAAGTCTTTCAACTTTGCCAAGCCTGGGCCATTGATGGCATTGGAAGTCTGCAAAGTCCAGTACGACTGCAGCTTGAAGCACCCATCCACACCATACTTCCTCACCTGTTTCAAGAAGGTCTCTTCCAAGTGGGCCATGTGGGAATCCTTTTGGGCTGCGACATTTTCACTATATCTAGGCTTGGGCACTCAAAAGC